CGGCGTGTGTGCCGGGCGGGAGGGAGGAGGGGAATGGTCCGTGCGTGCGTTTATGGCATGCGCGCGTGCGTTATGGTCTGCATGTGTTGTGTACGCGGGTACCCATGTACTGGGGGTGCGTTGTGTGTTACGTGCGTCGCATGCGCTGCGTGTTGTGCGTTGTGTACGGTGACGATGGTGTTGATGGTGACGACAACGATGATTATGATAGCGATGATGAAGCTGACGGCATTCACGATGGCGCTGTTTGCGATGGTGATCATGTTAATGGTGACGCTGATGATGATCGTGGTGACTATGGTGAGGATGGTGAAGATGAAGATGGTGATGATGATGACGCCCATGATGATGATGCTGATGATGATAACGGTGATGATAACGATTGCAATGATGATTGTTTCCCTCTCCAGGCTCGGCAAAGACGCAAACGCAATGCGAATTACAAGAACCGCGGCTGAGCTGCAGGTAGATGGACCGACGGGCGCAACGGCGGGTGAAACCAGCGCAAGACTACGGGCGCAAACGAAATCGAACCAACTCTTGCAATCGCAAATTGGGCGCCAAGGAAGACCTGCAGCCCGAAGCCAGCCGGAGCCAGCAAGCAGGCCGGCAGTAGGGAGGGGAGGCGCGGAGGAAAAAAGAAAGCGATCGATCGATCACAGCTGCTAGGCTAGCCACCCGAGAGACAGGCGGGCGACCAGGAAAGCAGCAAGCGGGGCGGCACACATAGCCTCGAACACCATCGAGAAACTCGCGCGCGCGGGTACAAAGAAAACGAAAGCGGGCGCGCCCGTGCCCAGCACCGGTAGCTGGGTTAACCCTTCTGGCGGGCCCACGGAGTCCGCTGGAACCCTGCCCCGAGAGAGCGCGAAAGAGGGGCGGGCAGCGGGGGGCCTCTCCACCAGGTCGGAACATGCAACGGAAGCAAAAGAGGCGAGAGAGGCAACAGAGGCAAAAGACGCGGGCGGCCCAAGACCAAATTTCAGACCATAAACTCCAGGAAACGTGAAACGGCCGAAACAAAAATTAAAACACTAAAACTCACAAACCTTCCACCAGGGCACGGGCCGAGAGGAGCAGGAGAGGCGAGAGGGCAGACGGCGGCGGCACGCACGACGGCGGTAGCCAGCGGCAGCAGCAGGACAAGGGGGACGGCAGCGAGGAAGGAGAGAGAACAAACAAGGCCCACAAAGCGTCCCTGGGAGACAATCATCTCTGCACAAAGAGCCTCGACCAGCATCGAGAACCTCGCGCCTGCGGAAGGGCCGACTGGCCTAACCCCTGATGGCTTTTCCAGCCGCACGAATGGGAGGGTGCCGTTGCATCAGGAGCCGCAAACGGCCCTCAAAGACCAACGCAGGCGATGCTCCCCTGGGCACGGCAGCGGCTCTCAGTTGTGAGTGGGCGTGGGCGAAACAGTCAAGCAACGTGCACAGTACCAAGTCTCTGGGCTTGACGGGCGCTCGACCGTCTACACAGCAGAGAACTGGGAATGGGTCGGCGAAATCGAGCGGGAAGAGGGGAGCAGCCCAAGACGAAAAGAGCTCCAGGACTTTCGGGCAGCGCAGGCAGCGGCACTGGTCATCTGCGGCCCCCAGGCAACCGAAAGCACAGGGTTCTGGCTGGGCGTGAAAACGGGCCGACGCCCAAAGTCCCCGACAGAGAACCCGCAGGACGGCAACCACTAAAAACATCGAAGCTGCATTACAGACAGCGCGCATACGTCTAGCAAAGGGAGGAAACCAAACAGAGGCAGGCGAGGGGAGGGCATCCACTTCAGAACACGTCGCTCGATGTCGTCTCGAAGAGGGTCGGGACCAACGTCTGCACGGAGAGACGACGCCAACTTCGCGTGGGAGACCAAGAAAGGTGCCGTTGGGTTAATCGCTCGAGCCCGAGGGAGATGCTTGGCATAGTTCTCGGCCATAAACGACAGAAATGAGTTAGCGAACCAACCACGAGATAGCCGAAACGGATGCAAGCCATTGGAGTTATGCACAATCCCGTCTAGGCGCTTCTGGTACCGACCCCATGTCTCTGAGCCCTGTGCTGTTCTGAACGCTGCAGCTTGGGATACATGAGATAGAGCCATACATTGAGCGTTGCACCCTGCATGCCTGGGAGACTTCGCCATTCCTGCAATGAAACGGTACCTCGGACCGGCATGAAAGATCTGAAGAGCCCGTTCTTCCGTCTGCAGCAGTTGGGGGGTCGGCCTATGAAACTGCAAAACGAAGCCCAGCACTGAAACAGCCCGAACATTGTAGGCAACAGTAGACTCAGCTAGCCCAGCAACCACCAGACGGATTTTGCAGACCCGGCGGAAGAAATTATCCAGCTGCGTGGGAAACGAGTGAAGGTGAGCATCGGGGCCAACACTAATCCCAAGGTACCTGCACCACGTGAGCACAGAGAACCGCTCGCAGCCTCGTCCCAGAGATAGGAGCAGTTGAAAGAAATTCTGAACTTGATGCGGGCGGACCACTAGTATACTGCATTTCCCAAAGTGCAACTCAAGCCCGATAGCCAGCTATAAGACAGCGCTTAGCAAAGAGCGGAGCAGAATCGGTGAAGATATTGGCCAGCCAGAACCTCAAGTCGTCGGCATATCCTGAAAGCCTGAAACCTAAGGGACGTGTGGCATTCAGCCAACGACACACTGGGTCAAGGGAGAGGGCAAACAGGAGCATTAATGCGGGGCACCCCTGGCGAACGCCGCGCCCAACCGAGAACTGGGCCAACACAACACCACAGAAGTGGGCAAGGGCGGTGTTATCCTCATATAGGTTTGAAGAGAATTTCACGACCCACCTCGGAATGCACATCTTACTAAGGACAAAGAGCTACCATTGGATCCTCAACCTCGGGAACGCGGCACGAAAATCAGTAAAGAGCTGTGCTGTTTTGTCTTGCCCCTCAAGGTATGCGCAAACCCCATCTCCTTCACACTCGATGATGCTATCCAATATCGAGCGACCAGAGACACCACCAGTCTGACTGTCTAAGATAGAGCGCTGACCAAGCAGAGAGAGAGGCCGAGCAATAGCAGAGGTGACCAACTTGCAGTCCGTGCAACCCATGGAGAGCGGACGAGTACTGGATGGCTTTCTAGCAGGCACCGCCGATGCATCAGTGGGGTGATCCCCTTTAGCCAGGAAGATCATGAGCATCCGATGGAAGTTGGCAGGATGGGGAACATCAGGGTGAGAGATGCAATGCCGATAGAACAGGCAAAGCTTCTCCTGAGCTCCTGGAATCTTCCAACAGCTATATGGTATCCCATCGACACCCGACAGAATCCCCCGTGGCGTTCACCAGAGCGGCAAACGCTTCTTGATCCAGGATCCACTCCAGGTCAGGGTAGACGTCCGAAGCCTTCTAATGATGATTCTGATAATGATAATGATGATGATGATGCTGATGATGATGATTGTCATGATGGTGATGCTGGTGGTTATGGTGATGTTGAGGTGCTTCGTGGGGCGCTTTTGAGAGATCTGAATGATGTCTTAGGCGAGAGCTCCGCTTCTTAGTATCGCGACGATTTCGCAAGCGATTGCGAAATCTCCATGTTGCAGTGATATCTCGAGCGCCAACTTCGCTTTTTAACGATAAGACGTCTTGGACCAACTCCTTCAACATCTCAATGCTTTGGAGAATGTCTCAGGCAGAACGGCCGTGTTGGGGGGGGGACGCCGCCGAGCGAACAATTTTTGAAACCCGCGAGCCAGATGTTCTTCGCCTCTACTTGTTCATATTTTCCTTACTCGGCATGGCCTAACAAACTCCCAACACCATCTCGTTCCGAGAAGGCGCTTCCCGTAATCCGCCGAGCGAAAATCCTCGTACCCGCGAGCCAGTTGTCCCTCGCGTCTTACTTCTTCATGTGCAGACTACTCCTCGGCATGGCCTAACAAACTCTCACCACCTTCTCCTTCCGAGAAGGCGCCTCCCGTCATCCGCCGACCCCCGCCTGCCGGGGGTGAAAAGCCGTGGGACAGTTGGCTGCCCTCTCCCCTTCAACCAGAGCCCCACGAGGGCCTCCAGAAGCAAAAATCACTCATTCTGCGCAGGTTTCGAGCTGACTTTCGCTTTCGGGCGTCTGCAAGCCCAAAACGGCGCGAGAGGCCCCCCAGGCTGGCCCAGGACGGCCCAAGACGCCAGCAGAAGGGTCCACGGACGCCCAAGAGGGCCCCCAGACGGCCCAAGAGGCCCCCGAGACAGCAACGAAAATCTGGAAAGCGCCAAGAGGGGCCCAAGGGAGGCCCAACAAAGGGAACCCGCAGGGACCCCGGGAGCCCTCCCGCACAGGACGGCCCCGAGGCCCCCCGGCATGACCCCCAGCAGCCCCCGGGAGGGCCCCCGGAAGGGCCCCCGGAAGGGCCCCCGGAGCCTCGAAGCAGCTCCAGGAGGCCGCCCCCTGGGCCTCCAAGGGGCCCCACAGGTGCCCAGCCGCGGGCACGGAGGCATTTGGAGTCCCGCAACGGTGCGGTGACGGACCGTGCGGTGGCCTCAAAAGCCCCCAAGACCTCACCGCACGGTCCGTCGCCGCGCGGTCTTGGGACCCCGGAGGCCCCTGTCGCCCGGGGCATCCTCGGAGAACGACCCGAGTCCCAAAGCCGTGCGGTGACCCCGAATCCCCACCAACTCACCGCACGGTGCGGTCACCACCCCGCCTGGGCGCCCCCGAAGGAAGGGGAGGACGAGCCCGCAACGCCGGCACGCGGGCAACCACGTTCGCGCCGCGGGCGCGGCAGGAGCACCCCCAACGCTCGCTCGGGCAAGCCCGGGGACGGCACTGCGAGTTGCCCGGACGCAAGTGGACGCAAGGGGAGGAGGAGGAGGAGGAGGAGGAGGAGGAGGAGGAGGACAAGGAAGGAGGAGGGGAGGAAGGAGGAGGAAGAGAGGAACGGCCGCGCGAGGAGGGGGAGGAACTCATGTGCTCACGCAGCGAGGACCGCAGCCGCAGGCAGCAGCACGGGGAGCGGCCAACGGCGCACGCGAGAGAGATCGGCGGCGGCACGTGCCCTCCTCTGGGGGGTGCGGCGGGATGGCGTGTGGAGCCTCCAGAGCAGAACGGGGGGAGACAGGAGAGCGACGTCCCTCCTCCCGCCGTCTCCCCCTCCCGCTGCTGCCCCGCGGCCCTCCAACCCATCGCTGCGTCCAGCCTCTGCGCTGGGAGAAAGAGAGGGACCGAGGCGGAGGAGGAGGAGGAGGAGGAGGAGGAGGAGGCGGAGGAGGAGGGGAGGAGGGGAAGGACCGGTGGCAGCACGAGGCAGGAACAACGGAGGGGAGGGGCGGGGGGGAGGGAGGGAGGGAGGGAGGGAGGACACGTGACGAGGATGAGCCGGGGAGGGAGGGACTTCGGCCAATCCCCGCCCACCTGGTGCATGCAGCTTCGGCAGCCACTTTCTCAGGCGTTCGGCCTGGGCCGACGGGAGCGGCGGCAGGCCCGAAGACGGGGCGCAAACCGAGGCAGTCGACCTCAAATGGTGGCGGCGGCGAGAGGACCACGCCCGCGACGACGACGAGGACAACGACGGCCACAACGGCGAGGAGGAGAACGACGACCACGAAGACGGCCAGGTCCCCAAAAACACCCATATACTTCAACCTCATCGTGAGCAATCGAGCAATCGAAGTGCTGCGAAGTCCCGCTAAGACTGCCCCAAGTGGACGACTGCGATCACGACTGCAGCCGCGACTGCGATTACGACAGCAAAATCGCGACTACGATCACGATTGCAATCACGATTACAACCACGATTACAATCACGACTACAACCAATCATTACTATTGCAATGCCCACGAGAAGATGCTCACAAATCCTCTCGCGTGTAGGGTAGCCCAGAACGCATTGTTCCCTGGGAGAAAGAACGCCCACAACATTATGCAGTCCGACCAGCGTTGAAGGGAAAAATAACACCCGACGCGACGACGACGATAACGATGACGGGGAGGAGGAGGGGCGGGTTCATTCCCCGCCAAGGGAAGCGGGAGGGGTGGACGCAGAACTAAAGACTCCTTGAAATTACGCAGGGACGACCTGGCTCGGAGGGACGGCATCGACCCGGCCGGAATCGACGATGCATCGCCGATCGATCAGCGCCAGGTCCCCGAGAACGAAACCGCACGCTCCTGGGCGGGGTGTGCCATCGGGCCCCCGTGGGCGAGGAATGGGCGACTGGGGGGGGGGGGCGCTGCGCTCCACCCAGAGCTGATCCCCCCCAATTGAAGGGGCCCTGGGACACACAAATAAATACACACAAATACAACTATTCCCCATGTTTTCCTATGTTTGGGGTTTTTTGTCTTCCCCCCCACTTCCCATATTTTCCCATATTTTCTGGGGAGTCGACGATTAATTGTGCCTGTGTGTTTCTTTCCCTCCTGACCAATGTCAGGTCGGGGTTGTCGAATAGGGGGTTCGCAAATCCTCGTCACGTTCGCGGGCTCCTAGGAAGCACGGCGGAGTTGGGAGTACGCACACCCAGCCAAGACTAGGACTTGAACCGTAAGGCTTAGAGCCTCAAGGTATGGGGCTAGATGTTGGCGCCTAGGGCTCAGGGCTTGAAACCTGGGATTCTGGCGTGCAGGATTAGAGCTTTCGGCTTACAGCTTAGGGTGTAAGGCTCAAGGCCCAGGGCTTAGGGCTTAGAACTTAAGCCTTAGGGGCTAGAGCTTAGGGATTATATTCCGGGTGTTATGGTGTCGGGCTTAGGGTGTAAGGGCTACAGGGTTCGGGTCAGGGTGTTGAACTGAGGGTGTTTGTCTTAGGGTGTTATGGTTGTGATGTTAGGTTTGGGGGGGTTGGGTTAGGATGTTAGGGCCAGGGTGTTAGAGTTAGGGTGTGAGGGTTCGGATTAGGGTGTTAGGGTATTGGTGTTCGGGTCAGGGTGTTACGCTTATGTTAGGTTCGGTGTTTCATGGAAGCTTGTTGAAGTCCAGATGGTCGCGATTTAGCGACAAATAGTGGTAAATAGCGGCAATTAGCGGCGATTGGCCGACACGTGTGGCGATTGGCAAAACGTCTGAACCATCATCTCCCTCCTGTTCCTCCTTTCCCCCAGGTCGTCATCGCCATCAATCTTCTTTTCCTGCTCCCTCGTCCCCATCGTCACCATCCGTCCTGTTCTCGTAGACATGTCCCTCCTCCTCCCTCCCTCCCTTCCCCCCCCTCTTGCCCCGATCCCCCTCTTCCCCCTCCGTCCTCCTCCTCCACCTCCACCTCCCCTCCATCCTCTCAGCGTCGTCACCGTCGCCGTCGCCGCCGCCGCCGTCGTCGCCACCGTCGCCTCCTCCTCGTCGCCTGCGAGATCCTCGTTTGCCCCCCCGGCCCTCCCCCCCCGCCCCAGAGCCGGCGCTGCGCTGGCTCGCGGGCTCCAGAGGCGCCTGGGAGGACCGCAGAAGCCCCCCAAAAGGCCCCAAACCGCACGTGCTTGCCCTGCGCCTTGGGCCACCAAAAAACACGCGCCTAGGGCCTTGGGGCATCATTGCGGCAAACTCGGGGCTATTTTGGGAGACAAGCGGGCACCTACGTACCACTAGAGCGACTCGTCCTCACACTAGGCAGGCCTGACCTGGGACGCACAAGGACACACTAGTACTATGTCTCTTCTTTGGAGGCGTGCGTCAGACCCGAACATATAGTACAACCATCTTGTAGTACATAGTTTCCCGAGCTGTATGGCCAGGAAGCGCCCGCCACGGAGCTTCTACTATAAGATTTCTAGGCGCGCGCGTCTGTATTCTTATGTTGGGGTGACGCAGATGACCCACCCCTTTCCCAGGACCGGCTTGTCGTCCTGAGTCGCCATTTAACGCTCTGGGAGCCTTGAACGGGCCTTTGGACACCGAATATCTTGAAGCGCCAAAACACTCTAGGGTGACTGGTCCGAAGCACTGAAGTCCGAGCCCACTCACTCCACCCCAGGCAGTGCCGGCCGCGTGCTTCGCAAGCGGGGCCTCGCCCAAAGACAGGCTGGCGAGCGCGATCACCTTCAAGGTCCATCCCGGCATGCACAGCATGACGGTCTTCCGGCACGGCCCACCCCGCCAGCCCGATCGACACAAGGAGGGGTGGCAGCGGCAAGCAGCAAAGGCGGCAGACCGGCAGGGTACACCTGTTAGGAGGGCGCAGTCGACTGTGTACAGTCGGGATGCTGAAACAAGGAACGCTAAATAAGGAATGAAGCCCCTGAGTGTCACAAAAAAAGCCTGGGTGCACGAGGAGGGCCTAGGAACAACAACGGAATGATCCAATGAACAGCGAGCCCCTTCCAGACCCAAAGCGGCCCTTATTCAGCGTCTTGGCTGTGGGGAACACTCGAGTGCCCTTGCCAGCACGCTTCCCAGGCATGCCAGAGGGTACCTGCCAGGACGACGGCCTGGAGCGCCCGAAGGTACCTGCCCAGACGACGCCACGAGGGGACCGGCTCAGGGAACGCTAGAGGGGAGCGGCTCAGGCGGGGAGGAAACATCGAGCTGGAATCGGCGATACAGCGCCGATAAATCGGCGATGGACCCCCAAATAGCGCATCCGCACGCCCGTGAGCGGGACGGGCCATCGTAATGGGCGATCGGGGGTCGACGCATCCGCCCTGAGCCCATCCCGCCCTGCTTTTCGGGCCTTAGCTCGCGCAGCCAGCGGCCGATCGGGACGGTCCGTGCACCCCGATCGAGCGCTCTCGGCGAGGGGCAGCCACGGAAGGCCTCCCGAGGCCGGAAAGCCGCCTGGAGCCCACGGGAACGCCCGTCGAGACGGCTTCCAGGACGACCCAGGCAGGCCATCAAGCCCGCCAGGATGGCCCAAGGTGCCTCCAACGCGGCCGCAGGTGGCACCAAGACGGCCCAAGATGGCCCCAAGACGGCCTCAGATGGTCCCCAAGATGGCCCCAAGATGGTCCCAAGATGGACCGAGGTGGCCCAAGATGGCCGGAAGACGGCCTGAGAGGCCCCCAAAGACTGCCAGGGAGGGCGACCCGAGGGCCCAGGTAGGGCCCGCAGAGGCCAAAACCACCGACGTTACTGAGGATCTACTTGTTCTAAACGATGGCGGAGACGGCCCCAGAGGCCTCCAAGATCCAAGACGGCCCCAAAACGATCCGAAGACGTCCCACGCTTCGGGCGCCCACAGCCCACCAGAGCACGGTCCGTGGTCATCGCGGGGCCGGGGTCGGAAGCCGCAGCGACCCGCGCCGTGAAGGACCACAGCACGCTTGGAAAAGGTGAGCCCGACGGAGCTGGGGAAGCAACACCCATCCGGAGTCGCGACGCTCCTCGCACGGACGGCTGGCTGGCCACATCCCCAACCACGGGTGGTGGGCGGAGGAGGGAAGGAAGGAAGAGGAGGGGTAGGAGGAGGAGAAGGAAGAGGAGGAAGGAGGAGGACAGGAAGAAGAAGACGAAGAAAAGATGAGGACGAGGTGGATACGAAAGAAGGAGAAGAAGAAGAAAAATTGTAAAAAAATGAAGAAGAAGAAGAAGAAGAAGAAGAAGGAGAAGAACACAAAAAACAACAACAACAACAACAACAACAACAACAACAACAACAACAACAACAACAACAACAACAACAACAACAACAACAACAACAACAATTACTAGCACGTGGGGACACTCCGTTCTCACCAGTGCCAGGGTTTTCATAGGAGGCGGGCAATACCCCCACTTTGTGGGGGGGCCGGTTCAAGCTCTACCAAATTTCCAAACGACTCTTCGCCACCACCCACACCCAGCTTCCCGCCCTATGACGTTCGGACACTTCACTTCGTGGCATGCGGACGACCGTGGCTACTATTCAGGGCCCCGCGGCCGACGACGACGGCGTGCGCGCGCGAAGAAAAAACGAATGTGTCCCGCATGGTATTATTTGACAGGGATGATGGCCCTGGCAGGTGCGCAACCGTTGTTGCAGAAGTTCGAAAAAGTTGCTCGCAAAAGCCCGTTTGACAGAAATGATTAAAAAGTGTTGGGTTTCCTACGAATCCGCAAGAGCGCGCGGGATGAATTTTGACAATTTTTTTTGAAAAACCATTGGTTTTTTGATGTTTTTATGTTAAAATCGCTACGAAAACTAAGGTTTTGGAAGGATTTCGTCTTGCGCGCGCGAATGTCCACTTTACCTTATTTTTTGCAAGGGATTCTTGAAGTTTGGTTATGTTAGAACAAGAAATGTCCACTTTAGCTTATTTTTTGCAAGGGAAAACCGATCGTAACAACACAACCGGATCCGGACCAACCCGTTTTGCCTGAGACTTCCTCACGAAAATGATGAAAATGAGGCTGCGGCCTAGGCGCGGCGGGGGGGTCGTGCACCAGGGGCCCCAACAATAATTTTCTTTAGAAGTAATAATGTTCAACAACAACAACAACAACAACAACAACAACAACAACAACAACAACAACAACAATTACTAGCACGTGGGGACACACCGTTCTCACCAGTGCCAGGGTTTTCATGGGACGCCGGCCAATACCCCCACTTTGTGGGGGGGCAGTTCAAGCTCTCCCAAATTTCCAAACGACTCTTCGCGACCACCCACACCCAGCTTCCCGCCCTATGACGTTCGGACACTTCACTTCGTGGCATGCGGACGACCTTGGCTACTACACTGGCGCATGGGTACAGTGACTTGTTGTGGTAACATTTTCTGAACGCTAGCTTAGTATACGACTTTTCCCACTTTTCAAACACTCGACACCTGTACTGGTTTTTGATGGTAACATGTTTCTGACGCTAGAATAGGAAACCACGGTATACCAGCACGACGCCGGTATTGTCTGTCGGGCCTACAATGATATTGACTGCTATGGTTGGTGAGGCGCTAGCGTCTGATACGACGTTTTTCCGTTTCTGTATCCCACTAGCGAATACACTTATTTTGAGTGGTACCACGTGGGTGGCGCCAGCATACCACAGGACTTGTTTCCGTTGTTGTGAGACGATACAGACTCATTCTTGTTCTGTTTTTGTGGTTCCGGCCTCAATGTGCAATACTGGTTCATTCTTGGCAGGATTTCGAGGTGCGCGCGCGGCGGCCGCGCGCATGTGCCCGCGTGTCATTTTTTGCAAGGGATGGTGGCCCTCGCAGGCGCGCAGACGTTGTTGAAGCAGTTCGAGGTGAGCGCAAAAGTTGCCCTCGAAGTCCCGTTTGATAGGAATGTTGAAAAACCATTGGTTTTGGAAGGATTCAGCATGCGCGCGGGGGCAGATTTTCGGAATTTTTTGATGAGAAAGTGGTGTGTTTTCATATGTGTTCTTGACATCGCATCTTGAAAGTGTTGAAATCACTGTGTGTTTGGCAGGATTTCGAGGTGCGCGCGCGGCGGCCGCGCGCATGTGCCCCGCGTGTCATTTTTTGCAAGGGATGGTGGCCCTCGCAGGCGCGCAGTCGTTGTTGAAGCAGTTCGAGGTGAGCGCAAAAGTTGCCCTCGAAGCCCCGTTTGATAGGAATGTTGAAAAACCATTGGTTTTGGAAGGATTCAGCATGCGCGCGGGGGCAGATTTTCATATTTTTTTGATGAGAGAGTGGTGTGTTTTCATATGTGTCCTTGACATCGCATCTTGAAATTGTTGAAATCACAGTGTGTGTTGGAAGGATTTCGACATGCGCGCGCGGCGGCCGCGGCGATGTGCACTTCGTGTCATTTGTTGCAATGGATTCTTGAAATGTGGTTATGTTAGAACAAGAAATGTCATTTTATATTGTGTTTTGCTTTTGCAAGGGAAAGCGGGGGGAACAAAACAACCGGATCTGGATCACATCGTTTTGTCAAGGGCTCTCGCTCGAAAATGATGAAAACAAGGCTGCGGCCTAGATAAAACGGGGGGGTCGCGCACCAGGGGTCCCAACAATAATATTTCTTTAGAAGCAATAACATGCAACAACAACAACAACAACAATTACTAGCACGTGGGGACACTCCGTTCTCACCAGTGCCAGGGTTTTCATAGGAGGCGGGCAATACCCCCACTTTGTGGGGGGGCCGGTTCAAGCTCTACCAAATTTCCAAACGACTCTTCGCCACCACCCACACCCAGCTTCCCGCCCTATGACGTTCGGACACTTCACTTCGTGGCATGCGGACGACCGTGGCTACTATTCAGGGCCCCGCGGCCGACGACGACGGCGTGCGCGCGCGAAGAAAAAACGAATGTGTCCCGCATGGTATTATTTGACAGGGATGATGGCCCTGGCAGGTGCGCAACCGTTGTTGCAGAAGTTCGAAAAAGTTGCTCGCAAAAGCCCGTTTGACAGAAATGTTTAAAAAGTGTTGGGTTTCCTACGAATCCGCAAGAGCGCGCGGGATGAGATTTTGACAATTTGTTGTTGAAAAACCATTGGTTTTTTGATGTTTTTATGTTAAAATCGCTGCGAACACTAAGGTTTTGGAAGGATTTCGTCTTGCGCGCGCGAATGTCCACTTTACCTTATTTTTTGCAAGGGATTCTTGAAATTTGATTATATTAGAACAAGAAATGTCATTTTCTATTGTTTTTTGCAAGGGAAAGCGGATTACAACAAAACAACCGGATCCTGTACACACCCTCTTTTCTGAGGCTTCCTCACGAAAATGATGAAAATGTAGCTGCGGCCTAGGCGGCGCAGGGGGGGCGCGCACCAGGGGGCCCAACAATAATTATTCTTTAGAATAAATAATGTTCAACAACAACAACAACAACAACAACAACAACAACAACAACAACAACAACAACAACAACAACAACAACAACAACAACAACAAAAACGTGTATGTATACAACAACAGCATCAACAACAACAACAACAACAGCAGCAGCAGCAACAACAACAACAATAACAACAATCATTTAAGACTGTTCGCCCATTTCAGCTCGAGTGTCCAATAACGCGTATTTCCCATACCCTCGATACCCGCCCTCTTCGTCTTCGATCGAATCCCTTTGGGGGGGTATACCTTTCTTCCCTGCAGGCCGGGCCCCGGCAAGCGGCGGGGCGGCCGCGGACCGTCGGCCTGGCCAGCGGCAGCGCTGATCGGCGGGGCGGCCGCGG